CCCCTGGCGGCCCGCGGCCCCGCCGCCATGGCAACGGCGCGCGGGAGCGGCGCCCCCTGGCGGCCGCCGGCCGCACCCGCAATGGCCTTTAATGTTTTTTTATGGGTCTGGGGTGGGTGGGGAGGGAGGGTTTGGGTTAGTGGGGTCATTTTTCGGTTTGTTTTTTATTTTTTTTTCCTTTTCATTTATCGTCGTTTCAAATAAATTGGTACAAAACGACTCTCCGGTGTGCTCGCTGCAGGCATCGGGAAGGGGGCTGGTCCCGGGGGGGCTCTGCTGCGGTTCGGGGTCCGTGCGGGTGCCGGTGCGCAGAGCCCGCACCCCGCTCCGGGTGGCGGGCAGGAGCGGAGCAAGGAGGGATCCTGGCCGTGGAGGCTGCGCCCGGCCGAGCTGCGGGGGGAGCGGGGAGCCCCGCAGCACAGCCCGCCCCGGCCGGCGGCGGGGCCGGGCCGGAGCCCCCGGCGCTGGCTATTTATAGGCACCGCGAGGTTGCGTAAACGCCGGCGGGGATCTGGGCCATCTCGTGCTGCCTGCCGCGGGAGGAGCGAGGCCCGGGCTGCGGGGAGGGCACACGAACACAGCCCCGTGCGCGGGCATGGGCAGCGGGGCTGCACGGAGCCCCCGGGCCGGCTGCGGTAACGCTGGCCCCGCAGCACGGCCCGGCCCCGCTGCCTCTGCCCGGCCGGGGATCGCAGCAGCAGCACCGCCCCAGAGCTGCTCGGCCCCGAGGGCCGCCCTGCCGGAGCTGCCTGTGCCCAGCGAGCGCAGCACGGATCAGGCCCGCAGCCAGCCCCCCCCAGGAGCAGCTGACAGGGACAGCAGCTAGGGACTGTCACACCAGGCCATGGCAGGGCCTTTCAGCACTCCTGGGAAAGGCACAGCCCCTTCCCCCAGGGCTTTATCCCTTTGTCCCCCGGAGAACAAGCAGGGAGAAGGGAAGCAAGTTTTACTCCCTGCAGAAATGTCCTCTTGCTACATCCAGAAGAGAAGCCAGCCGTGCCCCTGGAAGAGCAGCCCTGGTCTGCTGCAGAGGCTGCAGCTCCCTCCAGGTCTGCATTTAGAAGCAGCAGTCCCCATCCTGGGAGAGATCTGCTGCATTCTGGCACTGACCCGCAGCTGTGTCCTTAGTGAACAGCTGCAGGTTTGGGAGGATCAGAGGGGATGCCCTCACCAAGGGGGGCACAGGGGCCAGGCTGCTCCCCAGCAGGGAGGTTAAACCAAGCCCATCTCAGGGCTCAGCTCTCTCATCTGCACGGCACACTGCAGCCACCCCTCCAGCTGGAACAGCAGGCACATTCCTGGGGGCAGATAAAAGCAGAAGGAAGGCAGTTACCCTCCAGCTGCCCAGCACAGGGGAGGCAGCAGGGTGACACACTGTGCCAAGCCAGCTGGAGCTGCCTGACCTCACAGGCTGAGCCTGCCAGGAGCCATGAGGCTGGGGCAGCCCTGAGTGAGCTCCCCTGGGTGCTGCCAACCCTAAGGACCAGGCTCTGGGGAGAAACCCAAGCCCTGGGGACTTTGAAGAGCCAGTGACTCATCTCATCAAACTGCCAGAGCTGAGGGACACAGCTGGCAGAGACTCCTGCACGTGGGGATGCACAGCAGCCTCCCACAGCAGGCAGCTCCAGCTCCCAGGCTGTGCTCATCCCAGCTTCAGGTACCCACGAGAAAGGGAAGAATGCTGCAGCCTCCCTCTCCTTGAGGGAAACACAGACCAAGAGACCCTTCCAGGCTCACCTGGCCTCTGGGGAAGGCTCTGCTCAGCCAAGTCCTTCACATTTCATGAGCTCAGCTGCTCTGGTGCCATGAAGCATTCAGAAGAGCCAGGACCAGTAACATCCCTCCAGAAAGGACCAGACCTGGCTCTGAATCTGCAGGCTTGACAATGACCACATTTATTCCAGCTTTATAGTAAAGACCAAGACTTCCAAATCTCCTGGTCACAACAATGTTCAGCTGTGAAGGCTACGAGGTGCTAAAGGCCAAGCGCTCCAGCAATGCTTGCTGTGACAGACAGGATTTCCTTCCCAGCTTTCCCAGCTGATCTGTCACATGCCAGCAGAGGAAGTTCAGAACCCAGCTGGAGCTCAGCGTGGAGGGCACTGTGTGTGCCACCAGCACCAGCCCCAGCAGAGCCACACAGCATCCAGGGTAGCTGCAGCTCCTGGGCAGCAGCCCGTGCTCCTTGCTGCCCTGTGCTGGCAGGGCAGCAGGTGACACTGCCCTACAGGACCTGCCAGCACCCCCGGGCTGCACCCAGCCCTGCACAGACCAACCCCAACATCACTGGGAAACATCCAAGCTTCCCACAACCCCTCCTGCCCAGACCCCAAGCAACTGGCTTGTAGAGCAGCCTCCAGAACAGCCATCTGGGAATGCCCAACCAAGGACAGGCTGTGAGTAACAAACAGCCTTGTGTCTCCAGCTCTTTCCTTCCCTTCAGGATGGCTTTTCTCATCTCTGCCTGCCTGCAAGGTCACCCAAAGGCTCCTGGCGCAGCCCCCGGGGCACCTCCAGCACTGGGGGAGGCCCTGGGTCCAGCCCCACTCCCCCTCCACTGCACCCAGCCAGGAGCAGCTGAAGCTTCCTGGCACTTGCGACAGAACAAGCAGGCAGTGTGGCACTCCCACGGCAGGGAAAAGAACCAGACAACAGTATTATCTTCTCCCGGGGTAGGAGAAGACTCTCACAGTCTGGCAGCGGTCCTGTCTGGTGTTTTACTAGTCCTTCCCCTTGGAGAGCAAGGGCCCAGACACCACAGAGCCTGCCAGAGTCCGTGAGTTTGCAGAGGTGACAAGACACAGCACATTTAAGAGCATTCAACAGGGAACCAGTTTAATCAGGTATCAGGTTTGCACCATTCTTTTCAGAATCACAAGTTCTGCATTTTTCTAAGAAATACAAAGCACTCTCAGGTTTACAGAATGCTGGTCCTGGAGAAAACAAGAGGGAGAGAACAAGACACTGGGATACAGACACTAGGACACTGGGCAGCAGAAAGGGAACTGCTCATCCCCACCTCGCTGATAGCAACTGCAGGAGGCAGCGACATCCCAGGGGGTCTGGCTGCTGCAGTGGGGCTGTCCCCTGCTGTCCCCACCCACCGGGGTCAGGATTCCCCCGGGGAATGGCCGGACACCTCCACACCCCATCAGCAGGACACCGATGCACACACCGCTCCTGCAGAGCCGGATGAAAACCCCCTGCACAAAGGCAGCTGACAAGCATCCAGGTCCATCTACTCTACGCAACATGAAACTCGGATCCAGGGGAAGTTACTTCATCCACAAGATTAACAGCTGAGTCAATAGGTTGAACACATGCTACTTACAGCACATAAATAGAAGATAATCTTTTTTTTTCACTTAAAAAACGTGTGATGAAGGTCTAGGGCTGACTGCCTCGGCACTGCTGCATGCACACAACTATCAGCCTCACAGAAGCAGCTGCTGGGCAGCAGGAAAGCTGTCTCTGCATCACCTATTCAGGGGTCACGGGACAGCTATCCTGCCCCCATGCTCGACATTAGCCACACAGCCAGGAAATAAATATGGCACTAGCCAGGAGTGGGCTTTAATACAAACTCGAGTGGTTTTCAAAAGAAATATTAATCCATAAAGGGTTACAGTTAAACAGATATCATCATCACTTTATTTCTCAGAGCCAGAAATAGTGCTGAACAAACAAACAACAACAAAAAAAGAGACAGAGTATGTAATTTCCAGAAGTGCAACCAGGGTGCAGGGTGGCTCTCAGCGACACGAAGGGCTTCTGCAGCTGGGAGAGGAGGGGAGCCACGGCAGAAGATGGCAGCTCCCGCTCCCGGCGGGCGCCTGACCTTGCGACGCTCTCCGAGGGGATTTGTCACCGCAGCCTCCACCCCACCCCGCCCCAGGAGCCGCGGCGTGGGGGAACACCGAGTGCCCCAGCACCCGCCGAGCCAGGGAGCTGCGAGGACGTGACTGTACAGGGCTGTACCCAAAAATAGAGACCTTAAAATAAATAGGACCAAAGCTTCTTTACAGTAGGCAATGCACTAGTTTTACCATGAACAAAACTAAGACTAACAGCCACTTCTTGCCAATGGAGAAACTTTTTCTCCTCTCCACGTTTCGCAGCCCCCTGCCCTGCAGCTGCAGTGCGGCCAGGATGGCATTGCTGAGGAGGGAGGCGGGGGCACACCGGGAGAGCAGGGGGCCCTGCACAGTGCCAGGGCTGGCAGAGGGCACAGGCAGCCGGGGGTGCCCGCGTCCATCCCTCTGCCAGCTACAACAATCCTCAGCAGCTACCGGCAGCTCCGCACCGCGACCTAACCACACGGCTCCAGACGTCACCCCTGCCAACAACTGCGATCCAGCTGCCTCCTCCAAAACCGCTTCTTCCAGAGGGAAGAGAGGCAGAGCGGGGGCACAAGCAGGGCCTGACCTCACCCATGCTCACCCCGCACGCTGCCACAGCCCAGGCCAGAGGGGCTGGTGAAGGGCTGGTGGGGGCTGCCAGGGCTCACCACCCGGCCAGGGCTGAGGGGCAGGACGGGAACCCCAGCCCCGCCGGGAGGAGAGGTGAGGCAGCGGCGAGAAGGGAGCTGGGGGCGGGGGGACGGGGGGCAGCGCTCACTTCTTGGAGCTCTGCGTCTTCTTGGGCAGCAGCACGGCCTGGATGTTGGGCAGGACGCCGCCCTGGGCGATGGTCACGCCGCCCAGCAGCTTGTTGAGCTCCTCGTCGTTGCGGATGGCGAGCTGCAGGTGCCGCGGGATGATGCGCGTCTTCTTGTTGTCGCGGGCCGCGTTGCCCGCCAGCTCCAGGATCTCGGCCGACAGGTACTCCAGCACGGCCGCCAGGTACACCGGCGCCCCGGCGCCCACCCGCTCCGCGTAGTTACCCTTCCGCAGCAGCCGGTGCACCCGCCCCACGGGGAACTGCAGCCCGGCCCGCGACGAGCGCGAC